CCAGGCTCCACAGCCCTTCCCGGGACCTTTGGCTGCACATGCCTGCAGCCGGAACGAGGGGTAAGCATCACAAGGACTGTGCATACACTAGGGCGTCCGTAGTGTAGGATAAGCACTGGTAAAAGGTATCAAGAATAGAGGTATCAAGAATAGAGTGTCTTGAGGAAATAGCCGGTGTATGGTTATAGCAAGCCTGGGGGGTAAATTTGCCACCCGCTTCCGCGTGCATTAGGTTAGAACTAGGGGTGAACAACTTGTAACGGTGAAGTACAAGTCCTATGCGGCAAGCAGCGGCCAGCAGCAGCAGCAGCAGCAGCAGCAGCCGCCTGCAGCCAGCAGCCAGCACCAACCGCCAACCGGCAGCCAGCCAGCAGCACCACGCAGCAGCAGCGCAGCATCAAGCCGCAGCAGCAGCAGCACCACCGGCAGCAAGCACCACCAGTGTGATATATCAAGGTTTAAGGCACACAGCTCATCCCACTACCAATTGCTAAAGCAACGAAGAAGTCAGCTAGCATGCTAGCTTTCGTGACAAGGACTGTGCATACACTAGCGCATCCGTAGTGTAGCATAGGCACCGGTAAAAGGAATCAAGAATACAGAGTCTTGAGCACATAGCCGGTGTCTGGTTATAGCAATCCCTGTCCGGCTTCTGGTTCTTCCAGCTCCTCCCCCAAGAAAAGGGGTCGGCGGCACCAGGGCGGAGCCCTTACTATAAATATATCATGAATTAGTAGTAACAAGGACGCTTCCAGTAACAAGTGCCACGCTAGTAGTAACAAGTACCTTACTAGTAGTAACAATATATCATGCGTTCATCACTTCTGGTTCACTTTTTCCCCGCCCTTCCGCCTTCCGTTGTTCAGCTCTCGATTTCGCAAGTCTCGGAGGTCGGAGCCGAAGGTCAACTGCTGGAAACCAAGCGGATCTGTCAACAGACGGAGACAATAAAATTAAATTAATAGCTTCTTGTTATTACTAGTAAGGCACCTGTTACTACTAGTAAGGCACTTGTTCCCAGTAGCGATGCACTTGTTCCTAGTAGCTTCTTGTTATCATTAGGGAAACCTAATAGAAATGGCCTCCAACCTGACGGCCTCCAACTTAAAGACTTGTTGTCACAATCAATCATCTATGATACATGATGTATCATATGCTGTTTCATATGATGTATCATGTCGCATGTGTGTGGTCAGGAATTGTGCCTCCAAAGTCGCCAACCTCTCTGGATGCGTCCTTAAGATGGAAGAAAATATCAAAAAACATGAAAAGCTCACCAGGCTCATGAACCAGAATCGCGACAAAGTTCGTACCCATGAAAATTCCTGTCCCATGCTGTCAGGAAATTTTGATCCGGAGGTATATGGCATTTTGTTATAGCGAAGCATTCTGCCTGACATCTTGTGTACAAGTTCAAATGTCAAATTCCTTCCTAGCAGTGACTAGTGATGCAAAGCTGGCGACATACTGGGGCCCTCACTGGCGTGCTGAACTCTGGAAGCAGCGCAACCTTGTTCGAAAAAGGAAAGACAAGAACCAAAGTTTTGCTGCATGGATGTCAAAGGACTTTGTTGTGTTTAGCTCGTTTTCAACTCATCTGGCCCCGAAGAGGGTGAAGAGGCCAATCTGTCCGGGCCTAGACTGATGGGAAGCGGAAAGCACTCGGAAGTTCGAAAAATGTCTCAAGTTCAGGACACTTCGTACACTGCACCTTGAGATGCTGAAGCATGGCAAGAAAGGAAAGAAAACGTTTGATTTGTTTAAAGGTTTGAAGAACAATGACAAAAAATTTTAAAACAGAAACACATCCCGCACAACAAATCTGAGACATGCAGCCAACACCATTGGGAAGCTCGTCGAACACGGCAAAAGGAAAACGCAGATAGTGCCTACAGGTACTCTAACATCATCCAACTAAAGCCGCATTTCAAGAAGCAGGCCTTCTTAAAGAGCACCTTACCTTTTAAGCTGTTGGTCTCTTCACATTGGCGGTGATGTTTGAGAGTCTGGCTGCCCAATAAGGCCTACAGCTGCCAGCATAGCGATGCCTCAAAAAGGTTTCCCACTGAAGAATCCTATAAAATGTACGTTCAAAACAGGCTGTAAAGGTTTACAAAACAAAATGAAAGAAAGGCAAAAACATGAACTTGGCATCAATGACCTTCCGGAAAAAAACGTTCTTGGCTTTGCGTTTGGCTTAGGGCATAGGCGGCCATGCTTCAGCTCGGAGGTGCGGTATTGACGGAATTTGATCTGACGATGAACATCCCAAGACACCAACAATGGATTTCCTCTGGAGCTGTCTCCATATATATATAACTACATATATATATACCTTGAGTCTCCAAAGACCTTTTTTTTCTGTTTTTTTTTGGGGGTCTAATATTTTTGCGTTTTTGCTCGAAAAACGCGTTTTTAGAGATGAGGATTCAAAAAAAGGTGCAGAGTGAATCTTCATCCGGACGCGTCCGGCACGGACGCTTAAAGACGCCTTTGGGATGCAAAAAGACGCGTTTTGGACGCCGAAAAAAGGTCTCAGGACACTGTCTAAGGAGGATCTGACAGGGCACAAACAAAAAAGGAACATTTCGTGACATATGCAAAAAAGAGTGCTTTCTTTCAAAAATCTCTTTTTCTTGGAAAGGCAAATTTAAAAGGGTCATTGGAGACTCAAGGTAGATACGTGAATGCACAAGTTCGAGGTTTGTGGCAAGAAAAACCACTTCAGATCCGCATGTTTTTTTACCCATCAGCTAATAGCACTTTTTTAGGCCGAGACTCACAAGTACAAGAATTGTTTTAGATTGTTTTAGAACACATATGGTCAAGTTCAACATTGCAAAACACGATCTCGGTGACCAAGCAAGTCTTAAGGTTTGTGGTCGTGGCAGAAAACAGTGAGTGCTGACAGCGCACGTGGATTGCTTTTCAGCCGGGTAGCTGGTAGTTGGTATGGATCAAAATCCCCTACGTCTCAAAATGTGAAATGATGGGCGGCCGAAATTCCATGGACCGCACTTCGCTGAAGAAAATGCATGAGAATCTGCCTGCGACGGAAAACATTCAACAATTGTCCGCCCTTGTGATCCAATCACAATCTTTCATCGCACAGTATTTGCATGACCCTAGGCCCTAGGCACCGTGGAGCTGCGTGCCCAAAATGCGTGATGGTCACGCGAAGCAGGTGTTTGCACCATCTTGTCTTCAACATTCCATTTGTTTGGCCCATCCAAATCACATTGTCAAGGCCGCATGGTTTCTCAAGTTCAAAGCGCTGCCGCTTGTACCTCTTGCAGTCCTGCTTCAGGCGGCACGACATGCCTGGGACTGCGTGGGAACGCCAATGAAGCAAATGAACACATGTCCAAGTCAAGCCCGTGCGCGGCGGTGACATCGACGCGTGCAAGGTTTTTGAGGCCTTGTTTTTGGCATTTTTGGCGGGTGTCATCTACCACAACAAAGAGCGACGAAGATGACTCTTTGAGATCAGTGTGGAGAAGAAGACATAATGACGTGCTCTATGACATTGAACGCAAGCAGAAAATGAAAGAGTTCCTGACGGTTTGGAGCATGGGTTGCCTGTGTGAGCTCAATCAATGGCTTTGGAGGTGGATTGAAGGAAAAGGTGGTGGAAAGAGACGTGGTGGGAAACACAGAGGAAAGTCCTAAAGAAAAGGAAAGACCCAAAAGAAAAGCTCCTCCTTCCGGAGAGAATGTCTTTGAACAGAGCACCGAATTCTGGATTGAGGAAGCCTCCGCACCGGACCTACCATATCTCAGCCCTTGTTGTAAGTGCTAGATGAAGTCCCCCTAGTACAAGCAGAAGAAGAAGCTGTTGGGAAACTATGGTTCAAATCAAAGGATTGCTGGTTGAGGCCTTGGTGAAGGTGCGGGCATTTGGTCTTGCGGCGCTGAAACCTGACTCCTTGCAGGCGTCTCTTGGCCTGTGTGTGTTCACAAGATCAGGCGGATCATCTTGGCCGAGGATACGACAACAGTGATCAACGATCAACCTGATGATGGCGAACTTGGAGCTTTCGCATGGCCCCCGAGTCAGTCTTTCCCCAATTGAATACATCCTTCTCATTGTTCCAAGCAGCAAGCCTGACGATCAAGGACGGGAACAAGAGCCAGCTGTTCCGATATGCTCAGGAAGGTAGTGGACGGTTCCAAGTCCCATGGGCCAGTTTCCTCCTTGGCAATACGTGGGCCTGTCAGGCCGGATGGAAGAAGCCAGGCGGTATGATTATTTATTTTTCTTCCCGAAAAGCCGATACTGTGACCTGCGCAACCTGGCATTCAAACGCTTCAACGTATACGCCGGCCAAGTTTGTCTGCAGAGTCTCCAGCGTCAGCCTCAGCAATTGATGCGTTGGGGCGCGCAAGATCTTCTAACGTGCCTCATGGCTCTGAGCCTGCCCACCGAAGAAGATGCAATCATGGCCAAGCTTTGTGAATCACCAGCAGCCACTGGCGCCAAGAGTCTTTTTGACGCAGCGTAAGCTTAGACACCAGGCATGAAGCTGTCAGAGGGTCACGTAGCAACTGAGATCTCCATCATCCAAAATCGACTGAAGGCCTTCAAATGACAACGGTCAAACATGGACTGGCAACCCACTGGCCGTCATCCTCCATCAAGGAACGCATCATGTGCTGTTTATTGTTGCCAAGAAGGTTATGCACCGAAGGAACTTTTTTGGCTCTTCTACAAGTCCACTGCCAAGAACCAGTACACGGAGCTGTGTCGAGCTGGCGCCATGGCTGCAGTGACGCACTGGCTTGTTGAAGACTTGCGCACAGCTGAAGCAAGCGACCGCATCTTTAGGGTGATTATGAAGAGTTTGGTTGGAAGTTCCTCTTGTCAGTGGCAGTGATCTTTCCAGGGAGCAGATCGTGTACAAGGTCTACGTCATTGCAAGGAGCTTTGCTGTGAGTCAGTGAGAAAGAGCCTGAGCCTGAGGCTGTTTCTATGAAGCCATCTCTTCACATCACAACGAGCCGGCTCAGGCGGGGACGGAAGAAGCTTCCCACATTGAACCCTTCAGCTAAGAAGCAACCAACAAAGCACCTTATACTTCAGCAATTCCGGGTCTTTTCCGGCACTGCATTGGCATTGGAATCAGCTCCAGCCGGCGACGCAATCTCCTGGAGGACCTTTCTGACAGCCCGTCAGTACTTGCTGCTGCCTTGGCAAGTCCAGAACCCAGGCTCTAGACCTAAATAAGGTGGCTCTTTTCACTGTTTCCAAAGATTGGCCGCAAGCTGGGCCAGGAAATTCTTCTTCACACTCTTGCCTTCGTGATCTTTGCCACATAGTGACTAGCCGAAGCAATTTCAGAGTCGGCGCAAGTCTCAACAAATTGCGCGCACTCATTGGAAGCAGTGAGAAGCGTGTTGGGCTCTCCTACCAATCTCGGTGACCAAGCATGTCAAAAGGTCTGTGATTGTGGCAGAAAAGAGTGAATGCACTGTATTGATCAAAAGCCCCTACGTTTGAACATGTAAAATGATGGGCGATCAAAGTTCCATGGACCGCACTTTGCTGAAGAAAATGCATTCGAGCATGACTGACTTGAGTCATCCAATCGACACACGATGTGAGGGCGACTTCACTGCTTGCCTTGTCAATTTTGGAGCAAAAACCAGCCGGATCGAAGAATCCCAATGGCTCAGTGACCCCGACTTCAGCCTGAGAAACCAGCTCAAAGGAAACAACCTTTGTGCTTTCAACCTGGTTTCTTTACTTGTTTCAGGATAACTGCTATTATTAATTTGATGCCTTAATTAAGACTCTATGTATATATACACATGCAAATGCGCAACGTTCACAAGCACCTTAATGCAACGAGCAGCGTCAATAACACAAAACCCTTTGCTTGCAAAAGCACTCATCCTATTAGCCTTGATTCGGAAAACAGATCTGAGGAATCGTTGATGGCCAGAAGTTATGCGCTATCAGAACAGAACAAAGGCAACAAAACAACACAGCCACATCAACCAAACATGACTGGAACCGCGTGCAGACTTCAACTGTAGAACACAGTCAACTGCGCACCGAGCTAGCAAAAGTTGAGGGCGGAAACAGCACTGCCACTGCGATGTCCTCCACCCTAGTAGCTTCTTGTTCCTAGTAGCTTCTTGGACCTTCCGCTGCACTACAGCGGGATTCTGAGTTTGCTTCCTAGATGTGGACATGTGGACTTGTGGACCAGTTGCACGCCAGTGTTCTTCCTATGAACTGCAGAAGAAACTTTTTTAACGCAGCCGCAGCCACTCCAAGGCCAACCAAAAAGCAAAGACTTGTTGCCAAGCCAGGTCCCAAACTGCATGAATCTTACATGTTCAAGCTGAGAGGCTCACAAACCGGCACAGCGTACAGCAAGATTCAGCACCAGCAAGACTGCTGGATACCGTCCCGATCAGTCCCAAACTGAAAACACCAAACAGCCAGACTGGCCTCAAATAGCGATGGCCTCCAACCGAACGGAACCAAGACGCCTTCAACCCTTCACCCCTCGATCACATCGAACAAAGAAAAAACTTGCAAGGCATCGTATTGTCCTTTGCCACTGCGTTTAGAATGAGTTCTCCTTAGAACGCTCAAGTCCCGAGTTCTCCAAGGTGCCGCTGGGTCAAAGGTCGGAGTCCTACATTGGCAAAATTAAGAAATCAAAAGATCAATAAACATGTCATTAGGTTGGAGGCCATCGCTACTAGGTTGGAGGACATTGCTGGGTCAAAGGTCGAAGGTCAATAAAGAAGTCATTGAGCAAAAAGAACATAGTAACAAGAAGCTAGTAGGAACAGGTGCATCGCTACTAGTAACAAGTGCCTTACTAGTAGTAACAAGAAGCTAGTAGTAACATGCCTTCTGCATGGTCCTCTGGCGTTCTTCGGAATCTCGTGCTTTGGATCTGGCTTTGGCCTTTGCCAATGTGTCCTGATTCACAGATCTTGCTCAATCAAGTTTCACATCTTCCCAAGATCATAATAAGAATGATGGACTCTAACCTACTAGCGATGGCCTCCACCCTAGTAGCGATGGCCTCCAACCTAAACCCAAATTGCCAAAGTGTTGAACCAATCCTGAACTTCTTCAGAGAGCTTGGAGTTGGAGTCGGACTTGGAGCGCGAAATTGCCTTCATAGTGCAGTGCTGCTGCAAATCTGCAGCCCCATTGGTCCAGAAATATCATCAACTCAACCTTCCGCCTGAAAGGGCCCTCGATCATTTAGTAGCACGGACAAGAACAAATTAATCCCTTCCAAAAGTCAATTCAATTTCATTCAATCCCTGCGTTTCTCTTCTGATAAATTCAGCATTGTGAAATTGCAGAAGGGTGCGGGAATCTCCTAAGAGGCCTGCATCTTCCGATGCCACGTCCTTGCAAACTCCAGAGTGATACAGAACTTGGAGTAAACCGCACTCGCACGCAGTGAGTTGAATGTAACCTATAGCGATGGCCTCCCATGAACGAATCAGAGACACAAAGAGATATACATGCAGCGCAAAAGTATCCACATTTCCCCTTCCCGCTTTGCACCTCCATTGAGCGTCGCAAAACACCTCAGTCTCTCTCCACACACCATGACACGACTGCAGAAGGATTGTCCTAGACACGCACCAAACTGCATTCGCACAAAAACAAAAATAAGGCACGCCATATGAAGCAGGCAGGTCTCCCGACAAGGACGTACACGACGCAAGCATCCAATTGCGACAAAACCCGCAGCCTGACTCCAGCGATTGCATCCAGTTGGTGAAGGAACAATGATCAAGTGTTGAAGCGCCTTGCCAATATTCCGGAGTGCACAACCATAAGATTTGGTGCTTTTCTTCACGGTTTGGGTGATCAAGCTCCTGCACATCTCAATTCGGTCCGTGTGTCCAAACAATTGTGACAGTCCTGTGGGGTGCCTGATCACGAACGGCCGATAGGGCACATGTTCGGATCATTTTCCAGATCAAGCTTGGCAAAAGGTTGTGTCTTCAAGTGCCCGACAGTCTGACCCAGGCTCATCTTAATATGTTTGCCTGCTTTGTGCCTGTATTTGCCTGCCCCTCTTCGACTGTCAACCCATTGTCCAGAACACTGGAACAAATGCAGAATGGTCATGATGCAAGCACAGTAACTTGGATTGCAAAGTTAAAATAGTTAAACAGCATGTGAACGCTCATGACAAACAGCAGTGTTTCTAGCGTTATGTCCGTTATGTTGCTCGTGATACAAGGTGAAGGGTTTGAAGTGAAACGAAAGGCCTCTTTGGTGAATACCCAACAAACAGTTTGAATCATCAGCTCTTTGATGTCTTCTTTACAGGTGATGACGCCATGTGGCCCAGATGTTTAATCTTCTCATGAAACTGCCTTCCACAAGCAAAAGCTGTGAGAGCACAATATTCAGCACCACTCAATCCAGGGACCACAAGATGGAAACAGAAATGCATGAAATCGATGTGTGCCAGAACTCATTCAGAATTCATGGGCCAAAGTGGGTGAGCATCCAATGCGACATCTAAGCTGTGGTTCAGAATTCAGCAAAGTATACTGCGTTCTCATTTTTTGCATTGCACCACACCAAAATTGGTTTTGCTTTCTTACCAGTTTCACAACTGGATAATCTGGTTCGGCAAAAGCATTGATTTAGACCTTCTGACCGGCAAAAGAGTTTGCCCACACATCCATGTGCGACTGGTTGAACAATTCTGTTTTACGACAAATACCAAACACTGATCGCATCTACAGTTGCCAGGAAGGTGTTACTGACAGCTGAGGTCGTCTGGAACAGTTTTGAAGAAAATGTGTGCATATCATGACCTGTTCTCATGACAAATGCAAATCTGTTCATTGATGGATGCGACCCGAAAACTCACAGCCTGAACGTGGATGGACAGTTCGATCACTCAATTTGGGTTTGTTGATTTGCCTGCTGCAACTGGAAACAATGTGATGTTTCAGACTCAAACTGAAAACTGAGATCACGCAGTGCTTCTGCAAAAATGAGCACGGCAAAAGCAAAGACATGAACAAATTGGATGGATCAACCCTGCACCAACGACTCGGCGCTGTGGCGAAATGATGATAATGATGTTGATGATGATGATGGTGATGATGGTGATTCGGCCTTTGGCAATTGATGGCCAGACGTCGATCAACGGCAACCTCTAACGCAAAATCTTGCCCATCTCCTCGAGGCTCGTTGGCGCCCGACGACCAACCATGTCTGAGTTGGTCAACCCACACTCACCTTGCTGCGTTCAGCTGTGATCGGGTTGGTTCGGCGCACCAGGTGGAAATGGCAAGACGACACCTGATGGCCGACCAGGGAAATGTGAAGATCATTGATAGGGAGACCTCACTCCAATCAGACTGAATGTTCTGCGCCTACTCGCGCTCAGGTGGAATTTCACTTGCAGTGGACATCCGCCCTCAAGGAGCGGGATCGAAAAGGAAGCTTTGCTACTGTGTTTTCACAGGGGCGTTTTTTTTGCACGGGTGGAGGCGCTATGTGTGCCGAAAGGCACAAGTCACCTTGATTGAATTAAATAGGGACACTAAGGAGATACGAGCCAGGCATCAAAGCAAGGCACAACACCAAAAACAAAAACAACAAACCCAAAACAGAGACACCGGGGCAGCCAGGCTCGTATCTCAGAAGGGCTGTGCAAGCCGAAGCAAAAGTTGAGTGAAAAAAGGGTGAGACGGGGCTCTGAATTCTATCTTCTACTAACGCTCAGTACTTGATGCTCAGGCAATAGCGATATTCCTTTTTGCGGGCAGTGAGCATTTGTGTGGCAATGTTGATTATTGCCCATGCGTGCTAATGCAACCAAGATTGTGCAGGAGTGGGAGCGCTTGCGAAAATTGTTGCAACACGGCAACATGTGACTTAGTTCAAAGAACACGACTTTGCCGACAACAGTTTCGAATAGGCACCGATTGGCACCTGAGTGAAATCGCAATGCTTTCACCCAGGCAGTCGATACTTGGGATGCGACTTTCAGAGTTGAGAGGTGACATTCATCTTTGTCTTCGACTCACTGTGATCAAAATCCCGAGGAATATTTGTGGAGAGCACGAGTTGTTGGATGTAGTCAATGCAAAGGACTTGCCATTGAGAAAAGTGGGTGGTGGAGGCAGTCGAGAGCGACCACTTTCGAAAGCCATGACCTCCAAAAGACCTGCGATGTGTCCAGAGACCGAAGAGTTCCACAGCGGAGCCCCCCCCCTAATGGGGGAGGCAGTGCCTTGTGTGCGCTCCATGCTTGCAGCTCCAAAATGGACAACGGGAGCAACAACGACTAAGCAGAGCGACTGTGCGCAAAGACACCGAAACACACCGCAAGTTGTCTGCAGGGAGCACTTTGCCGGCAAGTGCCTCGATTTGCTCAGCATCTCCATGTTGTGATTTGAGCGCCTTTGAAGCTAGTGAAGACATGCATGCCCATGAACTACTTGAAAGGGTGAAACGCCGCTATCCTAGGTCCTAGGAACTGTACATCTGTACTCTATGTATTCATCCAGGATCACCTCTTGGGAGGCAGCCCTGGGTACTGCCTAACTACTCAGTGTTGGCAGCTTAGTTGGTAGAGTCCGGCTGGCAGGCTTACTGGCAGGTTGATTGCATTCTCAGTACCTGCACATGGGCGCAAGTTTGGGCTGTTAGGCTTCCCTGCAGTTCGACTCTGCACAATCTCTCATGAAGTCAGCCCACTCCTCTTTACTGTCGGACGGCTTTAGGAGAAGCCGGGCCCAACTTGGGATCTTGAGCTGGCCGCATGTTTCGAAGGCATCATACTCTGCGTACGTCCCTCTCCATGTGGTCTTGTTTCCTACTCTCTCTAAGTTGTATGCAACCTGCAAACGCATGCTTGGCAATATAGAGCAGGGTGGGTGGAGTATGTAGCTCACCCGGTGACTCACAGTTCAGAAAGGCGTCTCGCTCAATGCGCCTCACCTTTTTGGCAAGCAGAACTTGTTGCAATTGCGAGCAGTGTGCAAAGGTGCCCCCCAAGATTTCACAAATTTCAATTTGCGAGATGTTTACTGCCCGTAATCGTTTGCAAAGTTCGCATGCCGCTGGTCCCATCCAGTTGAAATCTGCTGGCAAGTATAACGACTCTATCCCAGCCTCGAAAAAGCAGCCCTCAGGTATGGAGCGATACCGATTGGTGGGATCATACTCAGTTCTCTCAAAGTTGAGTTGCTGCAAGGAGCTGCATTTCTCAAAGGCTCGTGGTCGAAATTGCGCTTGTGGCGCCAGCTGATTAATTGTAGTGCTTTGGTCCCCAATCTGGATTAAGGAATAGCATTCTTCAAACACCCAGAGGCCAAAGCATTTGCATCCCGGGGCTGTGACGGTACGTAGTACATAGTTCCTGCGGAAAGCCCCATCCTGCAAACAGACCACTGTATTTGGTAATTGGACTATTTGCAGTCTGTTGCAGTGCTGCCGCTTCGCCGATGGTATGTATTCCTGCCTCTACCTGCACATGCCTCAAATCAACAGTGTGTGTGAAGGCATGGGGTAACACACGGCCCGTACGCGTGGGCGGGACTCGAATGGCTTTGGCACGGTGCTTCAATTGCCCTTTGTGTTCCACTTGGATAAGACCCTGGCGGACAACAAGGTTGAAGCAGTTGCTCTCTCTGAGAGTATCCCATATGGGGTCAGCCAAAATGGCTCCAGTGTCTTTGTTCACAAAGACAAGCTCGCGCCCAAACGTGCTATGCCCCCCAACAAACGGCAGTTTCTCCAGTACGGCAGTTTCGAACTCGTCTAGCCGATCAAACTCCTGTGGATCGATAACCTCTTGTATCTCTTCACCCGCAAGGGTGGTCAAGACCAGGTGCAACACCAACGTGCGTTCCTTGCTGGCTAGTGAGCTTGTCTGTGACCAGGTATCACCTACCATAGGGATTTCAGCCACGACTGAGGTATCTTTGCATGGAACCTACTCGTTGCTGGAGGGGAAGCCGACTTCAAGCCCGTACAAACTCCAAGGGAGGAAGCCGAGGCGAACACTGCCAGCACAGTCTTTGACATACAAGCCAGTCATGCAGCCCCGTATATTCCAGGCAGTCGTGTTGTCATTGTCACCACAGGACTGGTCTGGGACTAAAAAGGCCAGACCCATTCGACGCTCAACACACACATGGAAAATGTCGACTTTCTGATCACCGAAGAAGCCCAGCAAGATATGGATCTAAAGTCGGCCTTTGTCCCTGCGGTCGCCCAGCAACCTTCTTCAGAGCAATGTTAGGTGATCCCAAACAAAGCCCGGGCGGAGTAGCAGATGATCAGAGAGCTCATCGTACGCTCCTTCTCAAGGCTCCAATAGGACTGCGAGCCCCACATGCCTGGCACATGCCACATGAGGTTCCTGGCGTGTTTAACACCCTCCTTCACCACAGCCGAGGCTTTCGCCAAGATGACCTGGAGCAGGCAGCTGATGCAGCTGATGCAGTCAGTCAAAAGCCGCTAGGGAGCTGCTGGTTTCGACCGGAAGGGGTTGTGGCCAAGTTCCCTTTTGCCAGCGCTCTGCAAGCAACCTACAGTGATTTATCCAAGGTCGATCTGGAGCTCCCCGAGGGATTACTTATTGGTCTTGGCTATGCGGCCACCAATCCTGACAGCCCACTGGACTTCCACAACTCTGTCGTGCAGGAGCGGGTACCGAGGCCATCCTGGCCCTCACGACCACTCGCGAAGGTGCCACAAACCTGCGTAATTTCTTTGCCATCACCGGAAAGCAAGCTAACGCTGAAACGGCAGACAGCTACAGCAAAGCACTGCATTGTCATCCATGGACAATCAACCTTCCTAAGTGGCAATGGGCTAAATCTTGATTTCGATCAAGAATGTTTTTATACGCGCTAATGTTGCATATGGCCGTGCCACCAACCTCACCATCCTTGCCTGCCCACTCAACATGCAAGGAATGCCAGGTGCTCTG